TAGGCAAATGTCAGATTATTTGCTGATGATCAGTAAGCCGAGCACTCAAATGACAGATCACGCAAATCTGTCTACGCTACTGACAACAAACTTCAACTTGGTCTTTGAAGTTTTTATTTTTCGTTCCCGCGATTCCAGACACGATGTGTATTTTTTAAAATTATATAAAGTTTTGAGGTTTCGTGTAAAAGTTGAACCGGAAATGTTAATTGTTGTCCATAAATTCACGGCAGATAGGAGGTATGTCAAGGAATTATTTGGTTGAGCTATTTTATTAATAAAAAAAAAACTTATGGTTTTGCAGGTTTCGTTTGCAGAACGTAGACGGCAAAATAAACGTGCTCCAGTTCTTTTTTAAAACCAATAAACCAATAAAATACGCATATGCTTTGTTATACTATGAACCGTGTTTTAATAATATTATTCATAAATTGCAAAACGAAAATCCTGCTGGTAGAGATGTCATCTATTCTTATGCTGCAACTTCAGCAAACAAAATACAAATTCACTGAAGATTCAGTAAAGTGTTGCAATTTTGACATAAGTTCAAATTGCTGGAAGCATCAGCAGCATTATTTTGCTGGAAAGTTTGCTGATATTTCATCAAGTCTAAAATCAGAAAATTTTTGCTGATTTTCAGCGATTTTGATTTGGTGTGTACCATTTATACTGGCGACATCGCTCTGATGAGAAACCCTACCCCCAAGCTCATCCCAGACAACCAGAATGCACGTATATTCAAAGTTGTTTTTGTGATATACAAACATATATACAAACAAACAATTCGTATAGAATGCAAATAAATGGCTTACAAAAGTGGAGGTCATATACGTGCATATTTTAATTTAATTTTAAACGAGTTGATTTAACATCATATACGATTTAATCTGTAATAACAAATTCATTTTGAAAAGTCATACGATGTAATCCGATTTAATTTGTGATACAGTACGACGGAAAAATGAGTCATCGCATATCGGTAGGAAATTTGCATTCTATACGATTTAACTTAAACATAATGCGAGGTATGCCATTCTTATATGCGATTTTGACTTAAACTGTAGCAATTTACGATACTGTGTGTACATTGTTATACGACTTCTGGTTGTCTGGGATCCCCTTTTCTTATCTTTCGACAATGTACCCCTCTTTAAGTAATACCTCGGGTAAACCGCGAGTATTCGGCCCAACTCCTACTAGACATAGAATTAAGTGAATTTTGTTAAAAACAATGAAAAATTAATTACTGGCTCCGTAAAGCCAACGCGATTGAGCCTTCCAAATAAATGAACTAGATAAAACACAGGTGGATGTTTAAGGTAAGGACTGTTTAGTTTATAAAACGGACACTTAAAAATGCCTGTAACTTTTTTAAATTACGTTGTATCGATACTGTTTGGAATATGTATGTTTGTTCTTTCCAACATATGCATTGCTTAAATTAATGATAGTCAAAGGCATAATTCCAGAATGAATAATCGAAGTCTTTTTAAAAAATGCCCTCCCCATGGACATGACGGTACTGAACCAAAGGGTTATGTTTAATCTCTTTATGTTTGCAACGATGATGATTTCCGATAGTGACACATATCACCTTCATACTGCTTCAGTATGCCTCAAACGATTAATTCTGGGTTGTTGATAAAACTTCGTTGATGAAATCCACTGCTTCATGCAAACTGAGCAATTTTGATTATAGTATGTATCAAATTTGTTCTTTATTCAGAGGAACTGGGAGAGTTTATTAGAAACTTCTCACCAATAAAGTAATGATCTTCTAGTAAATTTTGCATACCATTTTATTATAATTTTAGTTTATTTTAGCATATTGTTTTTGTTACAGTTAATTAGCATTAGCATACGATACAAGAAATTTTAATATTACTTGCTCGTGTTTGCGTAAAATAATCAATTATTTTACTTGTAATTACCTTTAAACTGTTTAAAGTTTTTGTTTTTTTTTTATCTGATAGATTTCTCAGTTTGGTTAGATGTTTCGAAGCTAACCCATGTCCACAGGCGTAATAGAAAAATAGGTAGAAAAAGTGTATCGTGAAGAAAGGTTGCGTGCAGGGTTGATTCCACTCACTTGCTATAGAGGAGTGATGTTCAGGATTTTGAATTCGTTGGATGTTGTAATGGGGGACTCATAGCTTCTTTCGGGTTGGAAATTTTCTCGACTTCCCTGGGCATAGAGTATCGATATATACAAATTCATGCATTAGTATTGGCATCGAAAGCTCTCAATTAATAACTGTGGAAGTGCATTTAGAACACTAAGTTGAGATCACGCAATAATCTAATATGCACTGAACAATAAACTTGAAATGCAAATAATAAGAAGATGTAATGGGGGTTTGTACTTGTTGGATACGGGAGGAGATTGAAGGGCGGGTGTTTGACACATTAGGCCTATCAATTTCGATTTCAGAGTGTCACAGTCAGCGATTTTATGATTCGTGAGCGTTCACTCTAAGTGAACGCTCGCGATTCGTAGAATCGTTGATTGTGACTATCTGCAAGTAGATTTGACAGGTTTTGTGTGCCTTGCCTTTTGGCCTCTTCTTGTATCATTATAGCATCTGGTGGCTTCAGGATTCCAGGGATAATTTTTTGTGCAGGTTAGTGGAAGCAGGCCATTAAAGTTACATTAAAATTGAAAAGTATGTTGAAATTACTAAAAAAACTGGTCAAATGAAGAACATTTAAGTGTTCGTCAGGCTAACAAAGATATGGATACAGGACTTCATAATGAATTTAAATCCAAGGTTGCAGAACATATCGTTACAAAGGGGCACAATTTGACAAAGGATAACATTAATATCCTGCGGAGTGAATCTTCACCTTGGAAACTAGACGTAGCTGAAAGTTTAGAAATATTTAAACATAATCCATCAACATTGCACACATCGTAGCATGTCCCTACCTGTTGGATACTGAATTTAGGTAAATTGTGACATGGAAGTGGATACCTGCTGATTTTTAGTACCTGTTGATTAGTATATAACTCGTAGGTAAAAGATGGATTCTTCAGTGGTGTTGAGTACTTGGCTTTAAGATAAGCAATTATAACGGAATTTAAAGGAAATCACCAACACAATCAAAACTCTTCATAGTTATTAATTGTTTAAAAGATTGATAATATTATGGCATGATCAAGCAACTGTTTTGTGGACAACACTGTATTCTGCAGTGTGACATAGTAGCCATGATGTTTTAGCTCTATACTACGCGCCGAAACACCAATGTTGCCTGCTGAGCAGTTGATTGAACATTATCATCAGACAATAGTGACTTGAATCATTAATAACTTTTGATCCTAACATTTTATCAGAAAATGGTCTTGAACAAAGTTATAGCTGTGAAAATTTACTACAAGTACAGTTATCAATTTTAAGAGCAGAGTAATAGGGTGAATTATTAGATAGTTGTGACCACAAAATTTGGTTTTTCCATAGTAATTTCCATATAAACTTCAAATGGTTTGTGCCAAGTCAGTTTCTTACTAAATGAGTTCAAAATTTGGAAGGCAAATTAAGAACCAAATAGGAACCGATTGAACACTGTGGAGCGAAAATTTCAAATTTTGCATCAGTATAATGGGCACCCAATCGTTCGGCTGTTGCAGTCCAATACGCGCACGGAAATTGGCTAGAATATTATTGTAAAGGCTGAGATACATTCTTTGCTTTCGATCACCGCACATCATCTGTGCCGGTTCTCGGATACTATGTCGAAAGAACCAGTGCTGTAAATGGGCATGGGGGAGCAGGGGCTAGTGAAAGCCACCTACCGTCTCTAATAATTCAATAATACATTATTGTATCATCTGTTATAAAAGTTGTAAAAAAAAGGTTTGCAGATCATCTCTCCCAATAAAACATTTTTTTAAAAAGAATTAGAACGGCTTGTTGTGATGCAGAAAACATCCCACGTTTTATATGAGGTTTCAAGATGTTTTATTCATACTTCCTAGATTTAAAATTTTTCCAAAATAGTTTTACTTTTATTTTATCTTTAAATGTTCTTTAAACGTGGATCTTACTGTTTTAAATTCACTCTAAAACTTGTCGTATACAAAATAAATCTTAGATTCTGTACTTTCCAGATTGGCGTGGACATTGACGACGCCATTGAGTCGAACTGTCTCTTCACGCAGTGATTGACAGTTTCTTATGAGAATTTCGGAGGTTTGTTATAAAGAAAGGTGAAAATACTTTTTTATGATATCTCATAAATTAATACAACTGAAAAGGTGCAGGTTGTCTTATAAGGCGTTGAATATCATATCTCTTAAATAACACCCTGGCAATAAAATGTACGCTTTGCTGCTTACAAAACGTCTTTATGACGGATCGAAGGGGTGTTGTCCGAGAGTATAATTTTCATGCCATTGGCAAGAACATGATAGATACTTATAATAAAACTCTCATCAAGCGGAGTTGGTCTAGTTAGTAAGTAATAAGTCTACAACGCCAAGGATCAGTGTTCGAATCCCATGCTCAAGTTTTGTTTTTATTGTTTTTTATTTGCCGCTGGTTTTGGGGTGACAATCATTAATAACGATTTGAAATTCATCGAATTAAATTTGCACGTTATTAAAAAAAAATTGTCGTTGTTCGTTGAAAATTAAAACAATTTATATTGAATATTAGACTTTCATTTAAAAACACACATGCATGTAACATTCAATGCAAATGAATGTACATATTATCAAATATTTTGATTTAAAATTAATGTTTTTTTGCAGTATGTTTCAACTAAGGCCACACAATACATCAGTGTGCTACATGTAAGTTTTTGCTGCGTAGTCCCCTTTTAGTCAAACTTGAGTTTTCTCTCATAGATCCGCTTGATAACCCTTTGTTTTTACCGTGTATCGTGTTTCTGGTAGAGCGCAACATCGCTTTGATATACATTTCCGTATCAGTGATGAAAATTGTCCTCATAAATTATTACATTAAATTCAGAAAAGTTGGCTATCGTCCACTAGCACTTACTTGTAGCCAAATTCCATGTCATCTCCGCAGCCACCCCAAGTCCAATCTTCATGAAGCTGAGAGGGTCGAGAGCTTCGAGAGCACCCACACGATGCTAACTGCCCATCACGGCAGGCACGGGCGATAAAACTGGCAGCTGCAGCCGCTGCTAATGCATGGACGAATGCCATCTCCGGTGAACCTGTAATGAAACATAAATTTTGCGGATTTAATGAATAAAAAAAATATTACACAGATAGTTGGTTGGATTAAATTATATCGGTATACATACGCACATACTAAGAATAAGGGTATATGTATACCGGCACAAGTAGGTGCTAAAAATAATAGTTATTAGATACATTATATTATAGTTACAAAAATAATTATTTTTAAATTACTTAGCACAGCAACTGTCCGTTAACATCACCGTACATTTTTATATACATTTACATTTTTTCGAGCTTGAAATTGATTATGAGATTATTGATCGCGTTCGGGAGATTAAATTTCTTGGCGTGATTATTGATGACAAACTTAAGTTCCACTTTCACATTGACAATGTCATCACTAAAACTGCCAAGATGTATGATCTATTGCCAGTAAAATACAGCTAGGGTAGAGCGCTACTTCGTCGTAATCGCCCATTTCCGTTCTATCGATCAGAAAAGATCAATAATATCAATGATTTCACCGTGCACAAATCAAAAATAGGTTTGTTCCGATGCGTTAGTTCATTAGCTACAACATAAATCTTGTTAGAGCGCATTGTATGAATATTTACGCTCATTGATCTCAAAACAAAAGAAGCGCTCCTAGCTAATCCCCTTTTTCTACGTTTATCCGTAGGACGAAGAAAATCTAATGGCGTTTCAATGCGTTTGAACGGAATTGAAACTCGTAGAACGAATTTAGAATCAAGAAGCAGTATTATATTGTATACAATATCTCAACAATATGTGACTCTTTGTCAAATCCAACGGTTTGTATGGAAAGGTGAATAAATTTAAAAGTCATCTTTGACAGAAATATTCCATTTTTAGTTAAAACTCGTTCAGAAAAGAGAGGTAAAGTGAGCGTTGTGCTTAGTAAGACGGAAATTAGATCAAAAACCCTATACAAAACAAACATAATTTCATCAATTTATTTTAGTCAGTGAATCACAAATATAGAGATTACTTGCAGAGTAAAATAATGCGTTTTATTTTGCGATGTAATATATTCACTATCTCAACTTTAATGCTGGATGCTTAACAATGGTTGTTGAGTTGGTGAAGCAAAGAATAGGTTACTTTTGTATGGTGTTCAATTTTAAAGGAGTTAATGGTTTATTGCCTCGATATTTGTGTGATCGAATTGAAAGAGGAAGTGATCATCTTTGGGGGAAGTAAAGCCGTTGGTCCCCGGTTCATGAGTTGATGGGTCGATAGGTAGGGTCCAGGTGTGGGAGCTGCCTCCCTGGCGTCGGTAGCATTGTTACAAGGAAAACAAGATCGACCGAAAACAAATCAAGGAAAAAAAAAACATATGCTCTCTACTTGGTGTGCCAAAAGTTCGACTTTAGTTGAAAAAAAAAAAAAAATTATCAAAACTCCAAGCATTTGAAATCAAACTAATTCCAAATATAGGATCCTTCATTCAAGGTTTACAAGTTTTTCTTATTGAACTTTGATGGATTTTGAGTAAATTCGTAGCAAGAACATTTTTTTTTCGGAAGAGTGTTTAAAACGAACTGGCAAAAGTTCGTTAAAGCAATGGGCAAAAGTTCATAAACTTAATGTCAGTTTTTTAGCAGTTTTGCCACTAAAGGGTGTAACGATCAAAATTTAGTAAAACAATTGAGCAATTTTCTACAGATTGACGAATTTTTTAATTTTTTTTTAATTTGTCGGCTCCGATTTGATGAAAATTTGCACAGTTGTTCTTTTTTAGTAAAGATGCCAATTTGTGTAATCAGTACTTCAAATTGAATCACGACTACTTTTCTAACAGGGCCTGTGTAAAAATAATACTAATGAGTTTTAAAATATATATTGCTTAAACGGTTTGTTGGATTGATTTGGTGTCTTCAGCAAAGTTGTGGATATTATTTTGGCAATAATGTTGAAAATATACACTGTAAAAAATTTCGTTTGCTTCAATGGAAAAAATTATATTTCTTATTAAAAAAGTTAATTTCTCAAAAGTACATTTTTGAAAATTTTCGTTTTAAACCTTATTGAAGCTCATAATGTTTGCTACAAACTGGCAAAGTTTGGTGATGGTAAACTCAAAAACAAAAAAGTTAGGATTTCTTGAAAATTTCACGATTTTTACATTTTTATTAAAAATACATGTTTTTCAACCGTGTATATTTTTTCAAGAATCGCATTTAAATTTTGCACAACTTTTTTCAAGACACCATAGCAGTCAAGCAAGCCGTTTTTGCAATGTATTAAAATGTTTATTTTATAAGCGCTTTTCTACACAGGCCCTATTGGAAAAGTAGAAAAGAAGCACTGTGAAATCAACGAAGGTATTAGAAAAAATCTTTTCAACTTCGAGCCTGAGGCTGACGAAGTGAATGAACTCAAAGAAGTTTTACAAAACATGAAGGAAGAGTTTTCCAATGCATCCACTGCAAGAAGTGAAAAATAATTAATTTTATCGTTATTGCCTTATTCATGGTCAACACAAAAAGTTATGGGCCTCCCTTAGCTCAGTCGGTAAAGGCGCAGCTACAAAGCAAGACCATGCTGGAGGTGGCTGGGTTCAATTCCCGGTCCGGTCTAGGAATTTTTCGGGTTGGAAAATTTCTCGACTCCCCTGGGCATATAAGTATGATTGGATTTGCCACACAATTATACCAATGCAAAAATGGTACAGGCATCGAAAGCTCTCAATTAATAACTGTGGAAGTGCATCTAGAACACTAAGTTGAGAGCACGCAATAAGCTAATATGCCATATGCAATAATTTTAAGCGAAGAAGAAGAAGACAAAAAGTTATGGATCAATTTAATGCTAGTAGATATATTGCAACAGAGGCTAAGTTGATAAAGGAAGGTCATTCGTCAAAAACCGCAAAATATGGCACAGCCTTAAGTGATGAAATAAAATGGGCAGTCATAATTTTTTTAAAGATGATATAAGCCGGGCAATGCCTGGTCAAAAAGATTATGTGTCTGTGCAGAAAGAAGGAAAACGACAAGCCATTCAAAAAAGATTACTAATGATGACTTTGAGAGAAGCTTATAAACAATTCAATGAAATTCACTGCAATGTAAAAATTGGATTCTCTTCATTTGCAAAACTCCGCCCTAAGCAATGTAAACTTTTAACCAGCTCTGGAACCCACAATGTTTGCGTGTGCACAACGCATGAAAACATCAATCTAATTTTACACAGTTTGGAAAAACTTAACCATTAAAATGATGTAAAAACGTTCACTGACAGCCTACTTTGTGAAAACAAGACAACATATTGCTACCTACGGTGTTGTGAAGATTGTCCAGACTCTTCCGCATTAGAAAACATTTTATTAAAACAATTAGAGGAAAAATGCATTGATCAGCTTTCATTTGAACAGTGGGTTACCACGGATAGATGTGATTTAGAAACTATTGTAAAGCCTGCAGACGAGTTTGTTTAATTTTTCTGCTTGAAATTGACAAGTTTGATACCACATGATTTCATAAAAACACAGCAATCTAATTTTTTGAAAACTACACGAAATAATTTGCAAGAAGGTGAATTTTTAGTTACTTGCGATTTTTCCGAAAACTACAGCTTTGTGTTACAGGATGAAGTTCAGTCTCATCACTAGAATGTCCAACAAGCTACCATTCATCCATTTGTTATATATTTTAGAGAAAATATGCAAGTTAAACATTAAAGTTTTATTATAATTTCTGAAGAGTTAAGGCATGACTCAGTGGCTGTTAACTTATTTATTTCTAAAATGATAAGTTTTTTTTACGCATTAACCAAAGTAAAAATATCAACAAGATTTATTTTATGTCCGATGGAGCCACGTCACAGTACAAGAACCGGAAAATTTTTGCTTGCTTTTGTAAATTTAAATCAATGTATGGAATTGAAGCCGAATGGCATTTCTTTGCAACATCACATGGGAAAGGTCCTTGTGACGCTATTGGAGGTACAATAAAACGCATGGCTACTAGAGCAAGTTTGGCCAAAGAACGTGAACATCAAAAAAAAAAAATGCAAGTGAGCTTTATAATTGGGCAAATAATCGAAAAGAAGAAGAATTAACAAAATTATCATTTAGTTTTGCCGCAACAGAGGAATACGAAAGTATGGCTTCACACCTCAACGAGCAATATAATAATGCAAAAATAATTCAAGGAACTCAAAAGTTTCCTTCTTTCATTCCTGTTTCAGAAAATAAAATTAAAGCCAAACGTTACTCAAACTGTAATGATAATGATGCCAAAATATTCGATGTATTTAAGAAGTGATGTAAATAAAAATAGAAAGTAAGTGAAAATAAATTATGTATCATCTGTCCATAAGGTTTCCGAATAAAAAAAAAAGTAAAAAATAGCAGAAAAATGTATTTTGTGGATTTAAGTTGAAATTTTAAAATAAAAAAGTAGTCGGGATTCACTATTACAAATTGTAATAGCGAACCCCGACTACTTTTCCAATAGGGCCTGTGTAGAAAAGCGCTTATAAAATAAACCTTTTAATACATTGCAAAAACGGCTTGCTTGATTGCTATGGTGTCTTCGGGAAAGTTGTGCAAAGTTAAAATGCGATTCTTGAATAAATATACACGGTTAAAAACATGTGTTTTTAATGAAAATGTAAAAATCGTGAAATTTTCAAAAAACCATAATTTTTTGTTTTTGAGTTTACCATCACCAAACTTTGCCAGTTAGTAGCAAACATTATGAGCTTCAATGAGGCTTAAAACGAAAATTCAAAAATGTACTTTTTGAGAAATTAACGTTTTTAATAATAAATTTATTTTTTTTTCATTGAAACAAACGAAATGTTTTACAGTGTTTATTTTTTACACAATTGCCAAAATAATATCTACAACTTTGCTGAGAACACCAAATCAATCGAACAAAGCGTTTTGGCAATATATATTTTTAAACTCATTAGTACTATTTTTACACAGGCTCTTTTCAAAAAGTAGTCGTGATTCAATTTGAAGAACTGATAACATAAATTGGCATCTTTACTAAAAAG